GGCTCACAGCGTAGCGAGGAAAATGCAGTCAAACCCAACAGCCCTAACAGAAGGGTTAGCGTTTCAGCCTTCATCTTGGGTCGCCGCTCTCCGCTACTATACTCCCAGGATAACGTGTACGTGCAGAAGTGCGGCAAGCCTTTCGATTAAAAGTTAGCTGAAGTTAGTTATATACAGCCTCCCCCCATAAACACAGCCTGGCCAGCCGTCCTCTTCTTCCCACCCTTCCACAAGCAGAGCCACTGCCTTCACAACCACGGGCTGTATTCACGATTGGCCACATAGCACAGACAGCGAGCAGGGGGTGGAGAGGAAGTAAAGTGGCTTTTAAGTGATTTAAAATGAATAGTTAAGAATAATATTTTACTGCATTATAATTCACTATTGTATAAATCCTCGAATTGCGTGCTGTTCAACGGCACGTAGACAGTCCTTCAGTAACATACACTGGTCACTTTTTAAGGTATTTCTACCTATCTACGTTTTATCAGGTCCACTCACCATACTGACTATATTGCCAAAAGTATGTGGACACCCCTCCTAATTACTAAGTTTAGGTGTTGCAGTCACAACCATTGCTAAGTGTATCTCCATAGACAAACAGTGGCAGTAGAATGGGTCATACTGAAGAGCTCAGTGACTTTAAACGTGACACTGTCACAGGATTCCACTTTTGCCACAAGTCAGTTTGTGAAATTTCGTCCTGTTAGATCTGCCCCAGTCAGCTGTAAGTGCTATTATAGTGAAATGGAAGCATCTAGGAGCAACAACAGCTCAGCCACACAGTGACAGACCACACTACTGCGGTCTGCTGTGTAGCGAGTATAAACCACATGTCCTCTGTTTCATCACTCACTACCAGTTCCGAACTGCCTCTGAAAGCAACATCAGCACATGAACTGTGTCGGGATCTTCATGAAATGGGTTTCCATGCCCAAGTAGCTGCACACAAGCCTAAGATCAAAATGTGCAATGCCAAGTGTCGGCTGGACCCAGAGGAAAAAAAAATATTTCTTAAGATTGTCTCAGATAAATAAAGGATATCTCAATATTATATTAATGACAGATCAATGATTTCTGCTTTGTTTCTCCTAAACCCTCTTAGGAGAAAAGAGGAGATTAACATCAGCATTTCACTGTGAGCGGTTCTGGTGATGAAGGAGAAAAGTGTGAGTTCTCCTTCTGCACTGACAGACTGCTGAGAGAGTTCTGTGATCTAGAACAGAGCTGCATAAGAAAAATGATGAGATCTCATACTTTTCTTATAGAAATATTATTCAGCTGAGACTGGGCTGAGATGAGTCAGACACTAAAGAGTTAATCCATATGTGTGACAATATTTTGATCAAAGTGAGAAAATCTGAGGGTTGTTTCTCAGGAGCCGAATTTCAGAAACAGGAGAAAATGGCTTAAAGCACTCTGATTTCAAACTGGACTTAACTGTGTCCAGGAGAAGAACCTGGGATCAAAAGGAGATCTCATTCAGAATATTTCTTTCCTCTGGGGAGTGGTGTAAAGCAACTCTGCAGTAATGGAAACGTGCTTTCTGGAGTGATGAACCACATTTCGCTATCTGGCCGTCTGATGGATGAATCGGGTTTTGGTGAATGCCAGAAGAACGCTCCCTACCGTAATCTGTAGTGCCAACAGTTTGGTGGAGGAAGGATAATGGTCTAGGGGTATTTTTCAGAGTTTGGGCTTGGCTTTTAGTTTCAGTGAAGGGTAATGTTAGTGCTACAGCATATAGATTTTAGAGATACAAGAGATTTTAGACAATTTTACTACTTTGCTACTTTGTGGCAACAGTTTGGGGAAGGACCCTGTTCCACCATGACTGTGCCCCACTGCACAAAACAAACTCCATTAAGATATGGTTTGATGAGTTTGGTGTGGAGGAACCACAGGGCTTGCGTAGAGCCCTGATGACAAGAACTCCAAAATCTTGTGCAAAGCCTTTCCAGAAAAGTGGAGCCAACCAATCATCATATCACACTAAAATGACTCTTAAACATGCTTCTATTGTGGTAGATATCTAAAATAAAATGAAGCTAAAACTTTGCAAGGTGCTAATGCTTGCAACACACACCCAGTATAAAAAGCTACATCATGGGCCCTCCTAGAGCAAGTTTGGTGAGTTTCTTGCTCAAACACAGCGGATTCAACTCATCTGTTGATTGCAAGGTTAGTGGGTGTGTTTGCGCATACCACTGTGCTGGCCCTCCAGGATCAGAGTTGTGCACCCCTTGGCTACATCAATTAACATAGGAGGGTTTGCATGCATTGCTGCACTTTAGAGATGTGCTGTATGTTGTGCGAAGATAAATTAGCATTTTTTTAAATCATTCCTCTGTGACTTGCTGTAAATATGACTATCCTGTGATTCTCTCTTGAATGGGTGGCTTCTTTGGACAGATCTACCATTAATTTCTCACTTCATATATTCCTTAGCTTTTTAATTAGTGCTACATGGACACACTGGACCTCCATGCTTTTCAGATGCCACTCATGATTTAGTTCTGTTTCACTGCCTGTCCTAGAAAGAGATGGTATATGATCTGAATGGGTGAAGTAACATTTGTAATGAAACTAGGAAAAAATGAATTAACTATGCATAAGAATTTAAATTATATTAATGATATGGGGAGCAGTGACCATGTGTATACTGCCATGTATAACTTCTAAACACGAAAATCACTTTCATTATATCTCATACTACATGCATTAAGTTCTGTATGGGACAGAACTTTGCTTCTGAATTATTCTCCCTTTTTCTTTTTTCTGTTCAGGGTAAGCACTCTGTGTTAATAAGATCAGAGTAGCTGGTTCTCCACCCTTGTGTTTATTCATGTAAAATTGCATATGTGATGTTGAAAGCTGTCCCCTTACAGTTACTGTGTTAGCTGGGTGTAGAGTGTAGAGAGTAGAGTGACATTCAAAATTATGTACATGCACAAGCAATGTTTTTAAACCCAGGTTAATAAATAATGGAACAATAATTATAAAATATTCTTATACTTAACATATAAAAATGTTACTACTAATAATACATATATACACATAAGTGCCAGTTTACTAATAAAAAAAAATCTTCTCTTTTCTTTTAGTGAAACTTAAAAAACTAAAAACTATATTCTATAAAATGTAATAATTATGTAATCCTATAAAAAAACAGTTCTTTTCTGAATAAGAAAGCAACAAAAACTGTCAATGAGTGCATGAAATTTTTCATTATATATAATGATAATTTTTAAATATATTTGTTTACTTTGTTTTATTTTGATTATTACTTAAGAATTAACATACTTTTTTCCTTTTTTCTGTTATATATTATCATTTTTTATTGTGATTTTTGACCACCTGGTATACACATTTTTGTATTTACACTATGACTTTCATTGTAGTGTTGTGCATATGTTGTTACGTCTGCAAATGTAACAAAAAATCAATATTTAACCTCCTTATTCCGAACTTCCAATATACTGCACATTTTTTCCCAGGTTTTCTAGCCTATAGAAGCAGGCATGTCTCCACACTCACTTTTATGTGTTTCATCAGAACACAGTATTAGTATTGGTGGATTATTTAATAAAATGTTTTCTTTTTGTATCTTGTCATAAACAAAAACAAATATGGCAGCTGGCGAGATAGACACCCACCGCCTCCAAGACCAAATTAAACACAATTTATTTGGATATGTGGTACCACAGACTCCATCAAGTACCAGAAGAAATAAAATTCAACCAGGAAGCTTAAACTGGGCCACAGTTTGGATCCTCCAGCAGGACAATGATCCATGCCTTAAAATCAACACAAAAAATGGTTCACTGACAACTGAATTAAGGTTTTGCCATGGCCATGGCCACCCCAGACCCCTCACCTAAACCCCATAGAAGACCTGTGGGATGAGCTGAAGAGGAGAGTCCACAGTGTGGACCTCTAAATCTGAAGGATCTGGAGAGGTTCTGTATGGAGGTATGGTCTCCAATTCTTTGCCATGTGTTCTCTAGTCTCATTATTAAATATTATAGGAGAAAACTCGGTTTCTTTGAAAAGGGAGGCTGCACAAAGTATTAAATGAAGGGATGGCAACAATTATGTCACACACACAGATTTGAGAAAAATATTTATTTCCTGATAAATATTTTTGGTTTTTCAATCATTGTACTTCAAATTAAGGTTAGATTCTTGTTAATATTTTGAATGAAAAATCATCAGAGGATAAGCAATAAAGATTTTTACAGCCTGTTTATTTGCTCATTTTTACCAGCGTGCCAATATTTGTGGAGAACACTATATGTAATACAGCTTATTTAATCTTTTTTGACTTTATTTGGTCACTGACCTCAATTGTTTAAACTATTTCTTCATTGCAGGTATAGTGATGTAAATATGTGTAAATGTTTTGTGTTGAAAAGCTCTTTGTTTATTATTCTGATTATATAATGTATTATTAAAATGACTGTTTTGAAATGGAATATTTTAGCAGTAATGCATGCAGAAGTCCAGGAAGTTCCAAGAGTTCAGAAAAGTTTTAATGCAACTGTAAAGTAAACAAAAACATGTTCAGCGTTTGTTTTGTTAAGTTAGTGATAAAAATAAATGTGATCATTTTTCAAAACTCTGACGTTTCAAAGCACTTAAATACACACATCCCCGATACAGGACACTGAATATTATGGTTACCAGTGAAAAAGCATGCATGTTATTCGGTCAGAACATGTTTTACAGCAAAACATTGTTTGTTTATAAAGTGCCCAGTTTCGGGACTGAGGAGGAAGATAAATATATAAAAAACAAACAAAAAACACGACGAAGGAAGGTTTCGAGCGATTTTAAGTGTCGTGAAATGAGTGGTTTATAGCGCGGACAGAGGCGCTGACCGCGGATCAGCGCGCGCTCAGATTAAACGCATTGAAGATCAGGAAGAGAGGGAGAAGACTGATCTGAGACCAGCGGTCTGAGCGCGCTCCTCAACGTCAACCGTTGGCAACTACGACACTTCCGCCTACCAACCAACCTGATTTGGGATAATATGTACAAACCAGAAACGTCAAGCTGTGTTGCTAACTGACTGGCCAGCGTCTGAAATGGAGAATTCGTGGATTTACACCAGGAACAACTCGGATAATGCCTGAAGAGCATTCGGCTGAAGTCGTAAAATGATATTTCGTGCACAACGTCGTTGACAGACTTCGTTAGCTTGCTAGCTAGCTAACTGCCCAAGTCATGGGCATTTCAGTCAGCTGACCGCCGAGCTCGCTAGCCAGCTAGTAAAGTTACAGGAGCGAGAAACGAGCTACTGTTTCCATGATAAATGCTATAGTGTTGTATTATTATCACATTAAAGTGTCTCGGTTCCGTTTTTGATGCAGCGCATGCAAAAGCACATCAAGGAAGGACATAGTTCCTTGAAAAATATGACAGGTTAACTCACTTAGCTTAGTTGTTAAAACTAACTCGGCTCTCGACTCGTCTAGACGAGTGATTCAGAATCGCAGTCACAAGGAGAAATGTCACGGCTCTGTCATCTTTTGCTCTCCTTTGGATTCATTCACATTATTCATTCAGGGGTTGAAATAACAGCGATCACTCAGACTGCTGCTCAAACCCGTCACGCCACTCCCGTGTAAGTTATGTGTGTCAGATGTCAGGAAATCATTTGAGGACCCGTTGAGTTTTCACTACTTTATCTATTTTAGTGCTTGAAAGCAGGGATAATTTTGCTTGCAAACATTTAGACACTATGTGGCTTCAACAGAGGTTAAAGGGGCTCCCTGGTCTGCTCTCAAGCAGCTGGGCCCGTCGCATGTTGGTTGGCTTGCTTGTTTTTCTCATTTTTTATTGGTACCTGAGCTCAGATGGGATCCTGAGGCTACTGAGCTTCTCTAGAGAAACTGGAGGAGCTGCTGGACTCTGTCTTCAGTCTGATGTCAACAGATGGACAGCACTGGTTGACCGTGGGGAGGGCATTGTTCACACGCCCCAGATGAAAGAGTCTGTGCCATTTGTGACGGGTAACGGACATTTCCTGGTCGACGTGGATTCGAATAAACTCTGGGTAACCTCGTCCTTGCAGCCAGGCTCGGCACCTGTGCACCAGACAGAGTTTTCGCCTATAGTGAGATGGCAGATACCTGGGAAGCGCTCTGAGGCACAGGCAAAAATGCTGTGGTACCGGAAGGGCTCAGTGCTGTCCACCAGGTGCGTCCTTTTGGGGAGTTCTCGGGACTGTGTCGTCATTCGGGAAGAATACATAGCCCACCGTAGCAGACCTAACGTCTACCTTCAGAGGGTGCACATAAGCAACCCCACAGACAAAGCAGTTTCAGTTGAGGTGTCTATGGACTCACCCAATTTTAGGAGTGTTGCAGAGAAGATGGATGACAAAGAATTCATGCTGTCCACTGGGAAGGTTCTCACAGAGAGGAAGGACATAGTGTTGGTGGCCGTGGCCTCAAAAAGGCTGAGCGCGCTGTTCCAAGTTCCCGCAAAGTCTGACCACGCTGAAAATATAGTGAATGTGATTTACACCTCAGAGCCCATTGAACCCTCCAAGGTTGACGAGACCTTTAGCAAGCTTCGAGAAGCTGTCAAGCGAGAGATGGTGGATGTGCTACGGGCCAACGTGGAAGATCTAGTGCAGGAGCACCAGCAGGCGTGGATGGATCTTTTCATATCTGGCAAGTCAACTCCTTTAAGTCTGACCAGTTTTAAGGCTGTTGTTTTGCATCTGTCAAATGACAGTTTTTAGCTTGAGGGGGAAATGTCATTCATTTTATTAAAACTGTCTGGAAATAGTGATATATGTCTGCTGTCAGGCATTTACTTAAAGTGATAGTTTGGTAAGAAATCAAATTTACCAAGTTTTCCCCTTACCCCAAATGTAGTTGATCAGCCAAGACATGTTTGGTGTCCAAAGTTTGCTTTAGTTTAGTAGTTTTGTTAGTTTTGTACTAGAGCTACGAGGCTAATGTAGCTGATAAGTAACCAAAGTTTATATCCCTCTAATTGCCAAAACTGTGTCAAGTTGTTAAGCACTTTTTAATAGTCTTGCTTATGTGGTTTCTGACACTGTCTGATATGCTGTCATCTTTAAAAAATAAAAAATTACAAAATACTAACAAAATTCAGGTTTCAAGATGGCTGTTTTTATCTGTGCAAATACAAACTAAAATAATGAATTTTTATCAAATATTTGTTGCACTGTCTAATTTATCTTGTCTTTTAGGTGTGGAGATTAGAAAAATAACAGACGCCCACACTCCATCTAGCCAAACGGTCAACACTACCCTGTACTACATCCTCTCTGCCTCCATGGCGCCCCTGCTGGACAGTGGTATCACTGCAGAGGAGCATGATAGGCTAGAGTCTAGCCTGAACTATGCTGACCACTGCTTCAGCGGCCACGCAACCATGCACGCTGAGAACCTTTGGCCAGGGCGGGTGAGCAGCGTGGCTCAGATCCTGCAGCTGGTCAATCTCTGGACCCTGACCCTCCAGAAGCGAGGCTGCAAAGTGCTAGTGGCGGCCGGTGCACATGGCCTGATGCAGGGCACAGTGCTCAGCTTTGGCGGCCTGCAATTCACAGAGAACCACCTGCAATTCCAGGCTGACCCAGATGTCCTGCACAACAGCTATTCACTGCGTGGCATCCACTATAACAAAGACCTGATCAACCTGGCTGTTCTGCTGGACACAGAGGGCAAACCTTTCCTGCATGTGTCCGTCAAACCCCAGGAAAAGCCGGTCAAGCTGTACGCCTGCGAGGCTGGGTGCATGAACGAGCCTGTGGAATTAACATCCGAGGTACAAGGCCACACGTTCCCAGTGATGGTGACCCAACCCATTACGCCTTTGCTGTACATTTCCACGGACCTGACGCACCTGCAGGACCTCAGGCATACACTGCACGTGAAGGCCATCCTGGCACATGAGGACCACATGGCCAAACAGTACCCGGGGCTGCCTTTTCTCTTCTGGTTCAGTGTGGCCTCCCTCATCACCCTCTTCCACCTCTTCCTCTTTAAACTCATCTACAATGAGTACTGTGGGCCAGGCGCCAAGCCGCTCTTCAGGAGTAAGGTATAGACCCATGAAGGAAACAGCAAAAATCTGCTCTCGGGTGGTAATCTTTGTTGGTGAAACTCTTCCCCCCCACCTCTCTCCTTCTTGCTCTAATTTAGTCGCAAACTGTCAAATTCTGCTTCCAGAGATAGTTCTGGAAACATCAAAGTGGTGATGATGGTTTTGGTAACCCCTCAAACTTACAACCTACAGTAATTGCAGAGCTAAGGCATGTTGAAGATTTTTTGCTTCTACCGAATCCTCTACAATCATCAGTCTGGATGTTTCTGACTTGAACTTCTCGCTTAATGAAAGCACCAGTGTAATTGTGGTTGGCACTGCTGTATGAAGTACTCAACGATCTTGCTCAAGTTTTTTTTCTTTCCTATTCTCGTTGATACGATTAGAAATTTTGTGAGTCATAAGGTAACAAATATTTATTTTTTTATACAAAAGCTGACTTTCAGTTTGCAGAATAACAAGTTGCAAATTAATTTTATCGCACAGATTTCTTGAATGTAATTTATCTCAAACTGAAACAAAGACTTGTTCTTTCTTTTTTCATGTAGACGACACATTTTACAGTTTGAAGAACAGCGTGATGTGAATTAGTCTCTTGATGAAGTAGTGGACGAGGATTTGCTTTTTTTATTCAATGAGAAATTTGTGCATAAAACTCTTCACTGGTGCCTTCAAGCCTTTCTTCTTCCAAGTTGGTGCGGGGGTTCTTTTGTGCTATCCACCTTTCTCCAGTGTTTTTTGGTTTGTTTGTCTGTTTGTTTTTGTTTACATGTTCCTTTCTTTTTAGACAATTGTTTTTACCACCTCAGTTTAATTTCATGCATATATCTAAGGGTAGGAAATGAGGTAACACATTCTGAGCACTACACAAAGTATTATACAAAGACATATGAAAACATTATGCTACATTGCTGATGCCAAAAGGCATCAAGGGGGCAGTAAAGTAAACAGGGGTTTGCACAGTAAGTGGTTAGAGTAAGGAGGGAACAGTTTTATCGTAATCTGTAAGAACATATGGGCAAAGAGAAGCAAAGAAGATTAGCACAGTGCTAAATGGTCAATAGACTGTGTCAACCAGATGCCCCATTAACCACATCTACATTTATAAATGACTGTCATGTCTGATTTGTCAACCAAAGTACATAATTTTTCATTAGAGATGGCACGATACCACTTTTCCTTTCTGACACCGATATCAATATTGAATCCTTGAGTATTGGTTGATCATTTTTCTGTAAAAACGCCTAAGCTTTAAGCTATTTTAAACTGAAGCACTTCACTTTAGATTGGCAGCTATTTCATTATCAAACTGCTCAAACTATGACGACCCCAGAGAAAGAAATACACAGCTAACAGCACATCCCATAATATGACTGTATGCTGTTTTAGGCTAGATTTGTTACAAGAATGAATCAGATTCATTCTTTTTTCCCTCTAATATCAGACCCATCATTTTCTGCTGATATCGGCCCGATATGGATACCTGGTATCAGATCGGTGCCATCTCTAGTTTTTATATTTCTTCATAAGAACTATGTAAACAAGTGCATAATGGAATATATGTAAGCCTCCTTACATCTTTAGATACACTCCATAAAACCAAGCCAAGAATTCCATTATTCATAGGTGGTATGAACTATTGAAAAAAGAAATCGTCCAACATGTTGTTCGTAAATGTGAAAGAACTGTATTGGTTGCAACATGAGTGACAATTCTGGTGTACATTGGGTGAAAAATTCAGGGAGAAAGTGCTTTTGTTTGTTTGCTTGATTTTGCCTTCTCTGTTAGCTTTGAAATTCTCGGGTGCAGACTTCTTTGTGGTGTTGCATTTCTTGAGTCTTGATTTGTTGTGTTTTTATATTGACTCACTACGATTAAATTAACAAATCAATGGTGACAGTGTTCTTCATTGATGTCTTAACCGAGACAGAGTTTTAACATGGAATACACACTGATTTGACCACATTGTGGCAATAAATGTGGTAGGTTTGGGTGATCTACAGTACTGTGCAAAGTCAAGAGACCACTGTTCATTTATTTCTTTTCCAGTCAAAACGGCCATTAGGTACAATTTTAAGTGTCAAAAAAACATTTAACATTTAACCAAAATTACAAAGCCTCAACAATTATATCTATCAATTTTTCTCACTGTTTAGTGTGTCCACATTTCTGTCTTTATTACAGCTTCTATTCCTTTCAAGAGACTTGCTTTTAGATTTTTTAAATACTTTTTATTATTCTACACCTCCAAAATTCAGTCTTAAAAGTTGGCTGCACTTTGTGCTTCATCTTAATCCATAAATTTCATCTTAATTATAAATTTAGACCTATCAGCTGTCTAGTTTTGGTGTTCTAATGCAAATTTTCTTTTCTTGTTAGCAGCTTCTTGACAGTTATGCATCCTTTCAGACCCATAGTGTTCAGTTGTCTTCTCACTAGAGATGAAACGATATTAAAATTTCATATCACGATTATCATGACCAAAATTGTCACAATTATCGGTATTATTGCGATATTGTTCAAATGTGTTGAAAAGTAAAATAAATAAAAAAATAAACACTGATACACAAACTGAAACTCGTTTCACCAACTTTTATATTAACACGAATAGAACTGGCAGCAATATGCACTTTTTTGTTTGCATTAACATTAAAAAATAAGGTCAATACATTTTTAGTATTACTTTTGTATTACTTACAATACTTGTAATACTCTGTAAACAAAAGAATAGCAAATGTATTATTATTGCTGTTATTATTATTATTATTATTATTATTAAGTACAGTAACTAGGAATTTCCCTGCATAGAGAATTAAATCTCGACCAACTCTGAGGTGGGTCTTAATGGAAAATGACTACTTCTAAGAAGTGTTGCACTCGGGGGATTTCTTTCCTAACTGCAGTTGCAGCATTGTTGTGGCGCTGTACCCCTAATCAATACAGTGCACCAGGAAAAACAGCCAAAATCACAGAGGAATTGCGTGACCGTGCTGTGAGCTGCAGACAGTGTAGAACTCACACAGTGTGTCTTCACCTGTGGAGCTGCTTCTCTAAAAGCATTTTAAAACTAAAACATAACTTTAAATTAACGCGCATCTGAGCTGCGGCAGAAACACTCCTAAAGTTTAATCTCTGAAACTCGGCTTTTCCTAACATCAGCACACAGCGTTTACTCGCTCAAAGCACACTATCTTCCCTAGTGCACTTTGTAGATCATGAAATAGCAAATCCTTCACCCAAAGAGTACAAGAAATGTTCGACTCAGTCATCTATAATCAACGTTAACAACAGGTTACAATTCCCTATTTAAAACTCAGCTGCTTGTTAATGATGATCGTGTTTGTTTGAACAGTAGTGCGCTATGTAGGGGACATTGAGTGATTTGAGACAGTTATTCTCTTCTCCGTTAAACTTAACCTTGCATTCTCTAAAAAGTAGCGGGTGGTGGTCGCGAAGATGACTCGTAAGGTTGGATGTGTTGCCCCCTTTCGCCGTTATTTTCTTTCTTTTCTTTCATCTTCAATTAGCTTTCCTTCTGCATCCTTATAAAACCCAAAATATGACCAAAAGACAGACTTAGTCTTCTTAGAAGGCTGAAATTTCTCCAAATCTCTGAGTTTTTCACACTGCGGTAATCAAAAGCGGTTTTACAATACTTTAAAGTTCAAACGGTACTACTAACCGTCATTAATTTTACCGCGGTTAACCGTGAAACCGGTAACCGTTTCGTCTCTACTTCTCACAGTGGAAGGATGGACAGAAACACCTACAGAGTTTTTCAGATCTGAAAAGTGAAGCTTGATTTTCTCCTTTCTCTCAGTTATCATGGTCTACCAGGTCTTATTGAAGTTAGGGATCCCATTTTCTAATCTGCATGTTTTGGAAGCTCCTGGTTTTCCACTTATTTTACTTTGACTTTCCCCTTCCTTATGCAAGTGGACAACCTTATATCCAATCTCCTTAGAAATATTTCCTTTATGCGTTTTAGATGCACATGAGAAAGAGGTTTTCAATACAGTTAAGGTGTGTTTGAGTAGTTGCTTGTGTGAATGTTAGGGTAATATAACGTCAGTGATTCCTTTAAAATCATCTTTTCGTTGGGAGAACGCAGCTGTAACTCAATGGTTTTATGATTGGAAGAATGGAAGTGTTATAGTGGCTGTAGGGTTTACAAAAGTAAAGAATGGACAACTTAAATACTGATGAATTTGATATTATACTTAGTGTTGGGGGCTTTTATGTCATTTTCTGTTAAACATATGTTCCCTGCTTTTTTTCAGACACTGAGAAATGAATAACTTGTACTTAATATCCGTTTTGACTGGAAATGAAATAAACGAAAGGGTGGTCTCTGATTTTGCACAGCACTGTAGCTTGAAAAAGTTATCATGATACAGAATTATAGCAGTGATAGAGACATTAGTACATTAGTACAAATGTTGTTTTATAGATAGTTTTAAAACTCTTATTAAATCACTAATGAGTAGTAGGCTTAGATTAAAACATAGACTCAAACCCACCACAGACAGGCTTATAACTGACTACTTAAAACATACAGAGCAGTGTGGTTTACTGTGCAGCTGAAAATGGTCATTTTATATCTTCTTACCATCATAGAACCTGTTTCTTGATATTAAACATGGTAAATTTGTTAAATAATGATCAGCTCAGTTTTTGTCAATCACCCAGCCCTGTTGATCATTAATTGCATTTGTACTACTATTACAAACAGAAACTTAATTTTGTATTTTAATATAGCGATATGCATGTGAAACAGACACATTTGATCGGTCAGGCTACACTATTACTTTTTAACTACAATTTAAAGGGAAATTCCACTGATTTTTCAAAAAATCATTAAGATGTCAGCAAAGTCATTCAGATAGGTTTGATGTGAAATGCTCCTTTTTAGGAAAACTTGCGAACTCAGTTGTTCTCAGTGAGTGGTGTTGATAGGAACCAAGCTAATGCAACTTCACAGAAAATTATTATTCCAAATGGTTACAAACGTGCTCATTCACCAATATCTTCCTAACCTTTTTCTTAAATTAGTTCTTGAGAAAGGTCTTAAGAAAAAGTCTATCTCAGATTCATGACATGTTAAAACGCAGAATTGTTTGCACCTTTTGTATTCTTGAGTGTGTGTAGACTCTGTTCTTACCTAAGAACAAAATCCAAATAAGAAAACATTGGTAAAAGTCAGAATCTTCATGAAAACTGCATAAGTGGTGTTTAAGAAGAACTTTCTTCTTAAGAACTATTGGTGAATGAGGCCCATTGTTCTCTATAGTTTTAATAGAAGGCTTTGGTATAAAAATCCATGTGGGTGTTGTAAGGCAAAATAGTCCCCATAGAAAACTTATTTCCACTATTTTACTATTATCAACGTTACATACAAAAAGCATGGGTTCAGTGGTTTGATTTGGATAGTAAAAAATGGATATATTTCAGGTGTAGACATCATGACCCTTGGCACTGTAAAGAAGTTTCTCTACAGTAAACCATTTCACATCAAAGCACTCTGAATGACTTTATTTACCTCTCAACTTTTGATTTATACTGACATTTTGAAATTTGGGTGGAATTCCGCTCTGACTCATCAAATGAATCAGAGTAGATCTAAATCAGTTTGTCCTTGATATCTGGATGTTAAATGTCTGAATCTCCAGGTAATGAAGACAAATGAAGAAACGGAACTGTAGGATGAAGGACTTTCAGAGAGTGAGAAGAACAACGGGTAAAATTCATATCAGCCACCATGATCACCGTTCAGCACAACTTTACATCACATATATTAAAGAGTGCCGTGTTTCCCAGCTCTTATCTTCCTGCTCTAACACAACTTATTCATTTGAGCCCAAGACTGATTATGATAAGACTAATTATAGGACATAATCTGAGAAACACAGTCTATGTGAAATGAATTTAGTTTAATTAAATTCAATTGAAAAGTAGAGTCTGATGGCATCCATTTAAGGCCATAATCTCTTAATCTGCGGGGTAACTATTCAGTTATTACAGTCTTACTGTTATGAAACTTATGTAAATCATTTGGTAACTACCTTAAAACTAATTTCTGTTATGCGGTTTTGAAAATATGAAATGTCGGTGCACATATGCACCCTTGCATTTTAGGGGTTTTAAAAGAAACATTAATGTGTACATGCTGTAAAACAGTTATTGAAAAGTTTGAACACCCCTTGTCAAATGACGTTTTGTTTTTTTTTTTAAGAGAAGGATGTGATGTTTTCCTTAACATTTTAGTACAATTTCTATTTATTTGCTGAGTTTAATATATTGCAACAAAATATAAACACATAAAATGTGCCATACCTTTTGCACAGGCCTCATTTTATATTTGATTTTTTTCCAAAATGTTAAATAAACAGTACTTGTGCATTAAATTGTGCAGACGTGTGTTCTCTGTAGAGGATGTGTTAATTTTAGCAAAAGCTGTCATTTGACCAGGGGTGCCGAAACGATGGCAAACAGGATGTACTTTTAAGAAATTCCACTAGGTGGTGATGTTCTCAATCAGTTCTACTAGAGATTTTGGCTGCAGCCAAAACCACATACTACCATTCTGAATAGTAGGCCTAGGTCAAAAATAGTGCACCACCAATAGAAGCCCATTCATTAGTGTAGTTTGTGTGGTATAGTAGCATGTGGTTTTGGGCGCAGCTTTAGATTTAATTACAGAAATGTCTTTGTCAGGCTGTAATGAAACCAAATTTAGAATGGATTGCTTCATGTGATTAAAGTCTAAATAATTGATGATGGAAAGAGCAGCATGACTAAAAGAGAAGGAATTTTCAAATGCTGTGAGCAGAAGTTTTTGTCAGTGACCCCCACACTAATGGAGACTCACAATGGACTCAACTTTGAAACATTAGCGAAGGCAGCTATGCGGCCAGTGATGAGTGAAACCAAGCTTTTGATTATTAACTACTAGGATTTTTCTCTTTTTTTCATTTATAACTATGTGTTCCAGCAAAATGAACGGTTGCTGAAGTGTGAAAATCATATGATTTACATATCTCAGTATATTTTGTTTTTATAATGACATGACTCAGACATTCAACGCTTATCAAATCTCCTAGAATCTCTTTTTTTCACATGTAATGAATACGTTTTCCATGTTGATGTTAGTCTGATGCTGGATATTAGAAGTGTGACGATGAAGAGGTGCAAAGCATGCTTTTTTAAATGTGAGCACCAAAATCTTTTGTATTAAGCTTATAAAAAGTTTATGTAGTCATAACTTTTCATACCCTTTAGAAAAAACATGGTGGTCTAGGAACAAATTATTCTGGCACAACTCATTGATGCCATTGTGGAGCAATTCTAGAGCACTAAAATATCTTTTGTATGAAGTAAACATCATGAAGTTAAATGACAGTAACATGCTATCTTTTGCTTGTAATATAAATGAGCTATCACAGTAGGCAACAATCATTCATCATTCATATTGCACACACACACACACACACACACACATATACACTACATATATATATATATATATATATATATATATATATATAAAACATATATACACACACTCAAACTACACTATGTTTAGTGCTCCACCAAGATAAGAGAGTAGTTTGCTATTTTTCATGTGAGGAACTGTGTGTTTGTGGGATTGAACTTGTTGTGGTGATGTAACTGTAGTTATATTAATTCTTCTTGTGTAGTCAGATGTAAAAAGGGGACAGCCTGAAGTTTTGGGGGAAGATTGTGGGGAGTCCTGGGTGCTTGTGAAGGGTGGATGATTCTATTGTGGCTAAATGACTGCATTGTTAGTTCCATGATATCATTGCCTTAATATGTGCTTGTATTTAAAAAAAATAGCTTTATTAAATTGTTTTTAGTAAATCTGTATTTAAAACACTGAATTTTATGTGGATAATTTATGGGGAATATTAACTATATTAACTAGCTATATTGATATTTTGTAACATTCATGAAAATCCTGTTTTTGAAGCAAACACTGTGAATAAAGGGGAATACAACAGCCGTAATACAGGATGTCTCTTTTTTGTCTCCTACCAGACTTTGACAAATGAACTTTTGTAATCAGCCCTAAGTGCTCCTAATGGGGTATAATTAAAGGGGAATTCTAACAAATTTTCTTTCTTTTCTGTATAATTATTTAATTTGGATTTGGTTAATGGTTAATACTTATATATTAATATGTCTCAATGTCTTAGACAACAGGCCACATATGTATGACTATTTCTATAACTCGGTTGAGTTCCCCTTTAATTGTGGTCAGTAGCAGAATTAGTCAGATTTCTGGAAATTTCCATTTAACTTAGAAGCCACAAGACCCAACATTTATGGAAGTGTATGTGTTCTTCACCTTTTTTCTATTTTTACTGCTGAGCCCATAAAGTGGCATTGTGGAAAAATAAACTATGCAACCACATTTGCAATAGTTTTGCGTTTGCTTGCAAAATTTTTGCATTTCCCTATCAACGGGAACGCAATTATTGCGAGGGAACACAACGTTACTTTAAAAACTATCATTGTGAAAAAAATCTTTGCAATGACCTCGCGTTCCCTTGTGATATTTTTGCTTTCCCTTGCAATAGTTCTGCAATTCTCTTGCTAAATTTTTGCATTTCCTCCCAAACACTTTGCCTTCCCTTACTGTTGCTTCATATTCCCTCCCAAAAGTTTTGTGTTCCCTTGAAAAATCGAATGCATTTGCGAGGGAACGCAAAATCACTGCGAGGAAACGAAAAACATTTGCGAGGGAATGTAAAACAAATTTGTCATTTTTTTAACCACGGCCCCTTAGATGCTCTCTGTTCAAAGGATAAGAGTTACTTAAAACAGATCAGATAGCAATATAATAACACAATAAAAAATATTTTATATACAATAAACACACGCAAATAGACCAAAGTACCATTTGGGATCCATTTTTCTAATTTGAACTGAACTTTTTTGGATTTGTTGGACTTGTTTGAATAGTTTATCCCCAATGTGCTCGTTATTGTGTCACGTAGGTATTTCCCTACCCTTTTCTCCTACGTTGCTTTCCTACATGAATCGTTCATACGCCAGGAAATACGAACACCGTGAATACGAAGTAACACAAAGTAACTGAAGAGCTGCTGAAGTCAGATGAATTTGAGATGAAATGTGTTCAAACTCACTCAAAGGCTACGAACGAATAAAACTAAACACTTCACAAAGATTTGAAACGAATGCCCTGTATTATGTGCCAGTTTAAAACCGACCTGAAGCCTGGTTAAAAAAAAAGATGCACAACATGGCGTCTCATTAAGCAGCCCTCATTGTATATTAAAAGCCCCTCAGTGTGTAATGAGACGACGTCACATTTTGAATTCTTTTACGCCCAGCAAAAGGAGAGGAAGAAGCTCGGACGAGTAGAGTAACAAAAAGAAGGTATATTAAAAGTAACAGTTGATTATTAAATTGTTAAAGCTGAATTTGGACTCTGGTTAGCCACCTGAATTCATTTCGTGTAACATATACGAGAGGAAGCTCATGTCATCAGTGGAGTACATGAAAAAGGACTGCTTAGCTTCTGGGACCCTGTCATCGACCTCTTTGAAAGGCACCTTAACTAAAATCCAGAGCAGAAGACACAAAGGAAAGAAGCTCTTAGCAAACGACCAGGAAGATACGGAGGGAGAATGTGATATTTGCAGGTAAGAGGCTTTATTTTAATTTTATGACAAGACAGTAATTGGTTCAACTAATGTCCTACAAGCACATTCAAATCTGTTGACTGGTTTTTAGCTTACATGTTCATTTTCAGGGCTTTCCTGTTAAGTTGAACCTATCATGATGAACTTTATAGAATTGTAAAATATTTCAAGCTTAAACTCATTTGTTCTTACTGCAGAGTGTTTGTTTAACATTGCAATAATATTGTCCAGTAATCAGTGCCCATCTAATACATATGCATATATTTTTACCTCCTTTCACAGCCTCTCTCTCCCTGCTTGCGGCAGTCGCAGTCGCACAGTTCGCAGGATCCTGGTAGCCTGCGTCGTCTCCTTCCTTGCCCTGTTTTCCGCCATGGCCATGGACTTCAGCTCCAGCTTGGCTCAGTGGCAGCACACAGAGAACTGCCTCGGTGAACTGACCTCCTGTAGGACTAATGCCACGCTCCAAATCATTACTGAACTCCAAATGATGAGAAACGCATGCTCATCAAGAGAGAGCAGAAATAGTGGGCAAGAGATATTGCCAAGTTTTTCATTCAGTGTACTGTCGGTGGTCAGTCACCATTGTACAGGTGTAGAAACAGATGGCCTTGGACAGCCTTGTGGTGCAGATCTCACTGAGTTTTGCAAACATCTTCGGTCTGACTTTTTGGAGTTTGTTAATGAGTCATGGAGTGATGAGCCAACTGGTATAAATGCAACCACTTTTGTCACACTTGCGATTGAAAAAATCTTATACTCCTCCGGCATTGGAGATGTAGATATTGGTCTCCTGAAGTACAGTTCAGACTGGGCAGACCTGCTCACTCTGAAACTTCTCATTACGCTCCAGGAACTGAATTATCAGTGGATATTGGGTGAAGGAGGGGCAGACTTCCAGTATAAATGGTCACAAACAATGACCCTTCTGATCATCCTCCAAAACATGTCTGAGAGCTTCCAGAACTGTTGGATGGAGAACCTCGGTCTGGAGCTCCACTTGACTCAACTAAAAGACTTTCACCCACTCTTTTCCCTCTACAGCCCTGGTTCCTCTTTGGAAGGAGCCTCTGTGTTCGTTCTTGCTTTGGGAAACATCCAGAACTGCTTTCTTTCCAAGACCACATTGGCACTGAAGATGAAATCCAGAGATATCTCCTCCAGCGTGAGCCTAAAAATATGTCTGCTAACCATCGCATGTCTCATCTACCCCATTGTGCTGCTTTCCTTTAAGGAAATGACAGAGTGGATCCAGGATTATGCTCAGAGCCTGAAGGAAAGGACAGAAGACCTGAAGACTCAAAGGCGCCTTGCTGAGGATCTCCTCCACCAGATGCTGCCCAAATCTGTGGCCAAGCAGCTTCGGAAAAACAGACACGTGGAAGCTGAAAGCTATGAAAGTGTAGGAGATTTAGCAGCCTAAAGCCATTTTATGTGTAAAAGTGTAGTTACATCAATGACTCCAGTAGAATTAAAAGCAGTTCAGCGGAAAACAACTTGAGCAGGATCAGAGAAAAACAAAAGAAAGCCTTATAGTACATGGAACTGCAAAATGTCTTAGTACATCCAGCATGTATTTAGTTTGTTTGGTGCTATTCCTCTCTTTTTGGGATATTTTTGATATAAAATAAAATGCTAAACCTCAAAAGTAAGAGGTGTGAGCAGCAGCAAAGCGGTCCAGTTGCTGGAAAAAAAAACAGAATGAAATCAACCACATAGGTATAATTAGTAAATCAGTAAAAAAGTAGATTTATATATATATATATATATATATATATATATATATATATAAAATGTACTATTATTATTATTATTACTATATTATTGAAACTATTTAGCAAATACTACCCACCGCTTTATAGTACAAAGAAACAGGCGCAATATAATGAATTCCATTCAAAAATATCCCAGAAAATGAAAAACAAAACCAGGATTTCAGCTGGGCTGAAAGATGTGCTGTTCTAGGTTAAACGGCTCAAAAAACAAGCTTTCAGAGAAAGGGTCGGTGCAACGGTTCTGCCTTTAACAAATCAAATTGATGTTTAAAAAGAAGTCCATATTCATTACGCATGTTGGCAAGATTGCAGTATATGGAAGGAGCACATGCTCCCATTTTGTTTGTTCTTATTGTTGCAATAATTGCCTGTAATTACGGTATTACATATTCATTAGGAGATAAAACAGCTTATGAGGGAGAGAGGAAAATTGTGGGTATCTCGTGAAGGATGGCAAATGAGGCCCATAGCAGGTCATTTTCCTTCTTTTGTTAGAACATGCAGGTCACCTAAAGATTCAGTGGACTCATTAAAGCACATACATTTTACTAGCTAAAATGTGACATTTAGGGCTAAAGATATTTAGGGAGTAGAGTTCATTTATCATTACTTTAAAATGGGTATTCAGGAGAATGCACTATATTATTTAAAGGCAGACAAATTTAAATTTTACAAGCTTTTGTAATCGGATTGGTATGATTTCTGCATTTAATTGTCTATGTTCTGTATTAAAATACACTCATTTATTGTTTGCATTTTTACAGCACAGTCATATGTAGTCTATTATATAAATATGTGAGTGCAAGTTCTGGTTGGTTCTCTCTAACGCTCAGGTATCTTTTCAGGTGACCATTTTCTTCTCGGATATTGTGGGCTTCACTGCCATATCAGCTTCCTGTACGCCACTGCAAGTTGTTGAAATGCTAAACAATCTGTACATGTGCTTCGACACACGCATTGACTCTTATGACGTCTACAAGGTAAGAACTGACATTATTACATGATTACTGTAGACCACAACATGTAATTTTGATGCATGGGAGTAGTCTTTTGTTTCATAGCAGTCTCTCGCTGCAGCCTACCTTACTATAAATATGACACAGTTGTTTAATCATAATCCTATTCTAGTTTGTCAACTGCTTTCATAGAGCAGCCACTGGTTGAATTCAAATCAGTGCAGAATTAAACCAATCAATCTTAAAGAAGATCATTTTTATTGCCTTCTAATACATGCAGACCCAGTGAGCCTGTAAGTTGTATTCAAGGGGAATAGCGATTTCTGCACAATTGTAAAATTTCCGTATAATTCAATTGAGATGTAAACAAAGTCATTCAGAGTGGTTTGATGTGAAATAATGCATTATAAAGAAACTTATCGGGTTAGATTTCTTTACAGTGGTGCTGATAGGAATCAGGGGTCATGATATCTACAACACACATATATGTGTTTTATTTTCTATGACCAGTAAATCTAAATTTGTCTTCTGAGTTTACATATATAATGTTGATAGTGATAAAATAGTGGTAAATAAGGAAAATAAGAAAACAGGCATCAGACAGCATAT